CACACTTCTTTTGTTCCTCTGCTGGAGACAAGGCATTGAGCTCTCATCTCTGGAGTCTGGATAGCTCATTGGATGACTGAGGCAGATGCTGAGGCTTCTGGTCCATGTACCACGGCTTGGAGGCAGAGATCTCACCTGATGACTGTGCATTAGAACCCCTCAGAATGTTTAAGTATCCAGTGCTTGGCTCCAGGTCAGACTCAGTGAATTGATATTCTTGATCAATTCACTGATCAGGAATCCTAGATATGTGTTTTGTCTTTTCCCTTAGTGTTAAGGATCAAACATAGGGCCCCTTTCATGTGAGCTGAACATTCTGCCATTGGACTATACTCTCAAGCCTGAAACTTTTTTAATTCCGTGAATGATTTTAGTCTATAACATGTTGATGATTGCTGCTAAATAAAAGAACAAATTTCTTGTTTAAAAAAAGGGAGGTTGAAGAAAGAAAGGTTAAGAGCACTTGCTCCTTCCAAGGACCTGGGTTCAAAACCTAGTGTCCACTTGGTGGCTTGCAACCATCTATAATTCTACTTCCAGTGAATCTGACACCTTCTTTCGTTTGTGGGCTCGAAGCTCACAAGTAAGACGTAGACATACATGAAAGCAAAACATCCATGCACATAAAATTAAAGTAAAAACAAGAAATCAAAGGGACAAGGGCATGGCTAAGTGGTAAAGTGTTTACCTAGTGGTAGAGTGCTTGTCTATCACACTTCAGGTCCTCTGCGTTCAAACTCCAGCACCATGGAGGGAACACCACTTAAAGAGAGCTTGATGTGTATGGGGATGTGCCTTAATAGTGCAGGGATTGTCTAGGTTTGAGTCCTACGCCCACATGAAAAAAGATAAACCTCAGGGTCTACTCAGGCTTCTAAATTTACCTGCTATTATAAAAAGCAAAGGCTGTTGCAAGATTCCCTGCCTGGGGCCCTGTTGGAATAGATTCCTCCAAACCTGTCGCTCAGCGGCCATTCTAGGTACCTATAAAAGAGATCCCATGGACCAGATTCGTGGTTGCAGCCTAGAATATGAACATTGTGTGTTCTTGTGTCATAGTAAATGTCTGGGTGAAGAAAGAAATTAAAAATTATAATTTTATTCACTTTGGCTCTGACTTGTTAGATATTTTCCTTTATTAGTGATATTTAGCAATAGTACATTCAGACAGAATAACTAGACAGCAGTTAGAAATACAAAATAAAACCAAAGATTTACCCCATCATCAACATCTCTGTCTTTCAGAACAAGTATGTACCAGACCCACCAAGGAAAAAGGGAAAGGTAATTATTTCAAGATCTCCTTCCATGATGTCTGAGGCCATCATCTACAAATTGTTAGTAGTGATCTCTGTCACTTAACAGTTGTTAAATACACGAATTATGGTAAAAATGGTAGTAGTGATCTCTGTCACTTAACAGTTGTTAAATACACTAATTATGGTAAAAAATGGATTTTACAATATGGTATTGTTGTGATTGATATTTTGAAATATTATACAATATAAAAGGCCAGTGCTCCAGTAAACATTAAAACATTGAGACTGAGGTGGGAACAATCTTTAGAAATAGTAAAACAATGGACTGGCAATATGACCCAGGAACTAAAAGTACTTGCTGGCCAAGCTGATGACCTGAGTTGAATCCCCAGCAACCATATGATGGAAAGAGAAAACAGGTGCCCAAAATTTGCCCTTCGATCTGTAACTGAATGTCACATCAGTGTCTATATACATAAATAAAATGTAGTATTTTTTTTAAAAAAAAAATCTGAGGGCTGGAAATATGTCTCAGTAGTTAAGAGAACTTGCTGATCTTCCAAAAGACCCAAGTTTATTCCCAGCATTCCCACGGTAGCTTGTATCCATCTGTAACTCCAGTCCCAGAACTTCTTTTGACCTCTAAAAGGCACCATATTTAGGCCCAAACACGCTTCTTTTGTTGCTCTGCTGGAGACAAGGCATTGAGTTCTCATCTCTGGAGTCTGGATAGCTCATTGGATGACTGAGGCAGATGCTGAGGCTTCTGGTCCATGTACCACGGCTTGGAGGCAGAGATCTCACCTGATGACTGTGTGTTAGAATCCTCAGAATGGTTTTGCATCCAGTGCTTGGCTCCAGGTCAGACTTAGTGAATTGAAATTGATGTTGATAGAACCTTAGATACTTGTTATGTTTTCCTCCCTCAATGTTCAGGGTCAAACCTAGGGCCTTATTCATGCTAGGTTGAACATTCTACCATTGGACTACACAGTCAAGCCTGGAATAATTTTTAATTCCATGAGTGTTTTTAGTTTATAATATATTAATGATTACTATTAAATAAGAGAACAAATTTCTTGCTTAAAAAGGAGACGTTGGAGAAAGGGTCAGTGGCTAAGAGTACTTGCTGCCCTTTTGTGAACCTGGGTTCAAAACTTAGCATCCACTTGGCAGTTTGCAACCATCTGTCATTCTAATTCTAGTGAATCTGACTTCTTCTTTTGTCCTCTGTGGACCCCCGTCTCACAAGTGGTGCCTAGATATACACGAAAGCAAAGCATCCCTGCACATAAAATGAAAATAATAACAAAAAACCAAAGAGGCAAGGGCATGGCTTGATGGTAAAGTGTTTACCTAGTAGTAAAATGCTTGCCTTTCACACTCTAGGTTTACTGGGCTCAAACTCTAGCATCATGGAGGGAGCACCACTAAAAGGGGGCTGGCTGTTTATGGGGATGTACCTTAATAGACAGTGATCACCTAGGCCTGAGCCTGGGTTCTACGCCCACATTAAAAAAGATAAACCTAAGGGCCTATCCAGGCTTCTAGACAATGGAACACTATGTAGATTTGCCTGTGTCCTGCTCTTTCTCAGGACTCACTTGCAGTGGTTTTAATAAATGACTCAGAAATCTTGACCCAGCAACCTGAAAACAGTGTTCGGCAAACATAGCCTCAGCTGCTATTATAAAAAGTAGAGACTATTGCAAGATTCCCTGCCTCGGGTTCGTGATGGAGATTGATGCCTCCCTCAGGGGCCATTCAAGGTACCTCTAAAAGATATCCCACTGACCAGATTTATGTTTGCAGCCTAGAATTTGAATCTTGTGTCATAATAAATGCCTGGGTAAAGAGAGAAACCACAAATTATAATTTTATTCACTTTGGCTCTGACTTGTTAGATATTTTCCTTTGCTGGTGATGTCATGGGTAAGGAATACTGCACCCCAATAGCATCAGACCCTACACAAGCATGAGGCAACATTTAAAATTTAGAATGAGCATGCCTGGTGTATGACTGGGTGTCTGAGACAGGGAGGAGCAGGGATGAGTCAGGGTTCACACGATGGGAGGTAAGAGGCTCATTGTAACAGGGGAACAGGGACAGTGGTAGAGAACAATAACGATATCCCTAGCAAAGCACAGAGTGAGTGCAAGAGGTTCAAAACAAGACCAGAATACAGACCTGAAAGAGTAGAGAAAGAGTGGCCATGGGAGGAACTATGAATGTTGAGGCAAATGAGTCGAGGGCACAGGACAGAACCCAAGGAACACATACCTTCTAATAGTAGAACCTGCTCAACAACAGTAGTTCTCCTGATCAAATTCCTTGAATGTTAGAAATGTCACCTTGGAAACTGAGTCAACAAAATCAGAACCCAAGCTTGCCCTTGCCACATGAGCTCCTCCCCTGAATAATGATAATGATGAAATTAATTAATTAATTAATCGAGATTACGACATTATATTTTGGAGTTAGACTTTTCTGAATAATAAATTTGTTGTTATCTCTAATTCATCTTCTTTGTTACTGTTGATATTGCAATGGTCTTTCTGCTATTTCCGTGTCAGAGTCACTGTTTTTTACAATGTAAATTTTTCTAGTCTGACATATCTCAGCAATTCCCTGAACTTTATTTCATATCAGAATTCCATTCTGTAAATCTCTGTTCAATACTAGTCCTTAATATTTTGAGGAGAGGGGCTGGTGAGACAGAGAGAGTTAAGAGCACTGATGCTCTCCCAGAGTGTTGTCGGAGGCTTCTGTCCCGCCTGGTCCCACAGTCGTTCAGTCCCAAAGAAACATACAGAGGTCTACATTAATCATAAACTTATTGGCCTATTAGCTCAGATTTCATATTAACTCTTTTTTACATCTGATATTAGCCCATTATTCTTGTCTGTGTTAGCCACGTGGCTGGTACCTTTTTCGGCGAGGCAGGCACATCTTGCTTCCTCTGTATCTGGATGATGACTGCAGACTGAAACTTCCCTCTATTCAGAATTCTCATTGCCCTGCCTCTACTTCCTGCCTGGTCACCCCACCTATACTTCCTGCCTGGCTACTGGCCAATCAGCATTTATTTAAAATACAAGTGACAGGGTACAACCCATTGGCCCACAGCACCAGAGGACCCAGGTTTGGTTCTCAGCATCCACATGGCCGCTGACAACCACCTGAAAATGTAAGGCCAGGAGATACAATTCTCACTTGTGACCTCTGCAGGCAACTGCACAAATGTGGTGCATGTATATACACTCAGGAACACACACATAAAAAAAGTATTTGAAATATCTACTTTGGAGCAAAGATTTCTGGGCCTCCTTGGTTTAGGCAAAGGCCACATGTTTTAGCACTCTGGGGTCACACAGCTCTTGATGATTTTTTGCAACATTTCTTCTTGTATCTGGAAAATTCACAGCAGTGTATGGTGTGCAGACGAGGACGGAACTTGTACCCTTGTGATAGTTGTGGGAAATTCTATCATGAAAAATGCCACATCCCACCTGTGGAAGACAAGAGGTTAGTAAGACAGCCCTGCCCCCAACCCTGGCCCTTTCTCCTCAGTACACACTTCTTCCCCACCCCCCAACACACACACACACACACACACACACATCCTGCTAGGTTGCTGTCTCCAGTTGAATATGTCTTGATAGAATGGGAGCAAGACCTTAGTCTTAAGATCCAAAAGTATCTAGAACTGTTTTACAGAATTCATAGCAGACCATTAAAGGAAATAATTATGGAAAGATTAATGAAAAGTAATTACTCCTTGTCACCTATGTGCTCCACTGGGGTGCCAGCATCATACAGTGGTTGTTGCTTTAATCATGCATTCATTTTCCCAATTACGGAATAACAACATTGATAAAGCTGGGCTGTCAAGCCTATAGAAATCCACCCCAGCATTCTATCAAACTAATTGACTCTGGGTTACATGAGAACTGGAAATTCTGTGTGTCAGCACCCCACTCCACCCTCACCCTCACCAGAGCATGCCTTTGCTGTATCTGTATCTCTGGGCAGAGATAGAATGTGAGATTCCAAGAGGTTGACAAGGGATTAGACTGGTGATATCAATAGTGTGGACGAAACTACTGTGACCCAGGGACTGATCTCTCCTGGAAATCTTCTAAGAAAACATTGCCCTCTGGTGACAGGAGGATTCATAAAACCACTCACTAGTCCCATCACCAGGCACCATCTCAGAGGATTATTGGAAACCACTTCTACTGGTTAGTTAGACACGATATCAAAGCACAAAAGGAATCAGTTCTTTCACAATGCCCACATGCAGCTCCCAACACCCCTCAGGAGCATCTTGTAATGGGTGCTTTGAAAAAGAACACTGAATGGACAAGGAGAGGCCAGTATTTTTAAGACAGATCATTGAAATGAATGAAATTTGGTATGACTTTGTCAAGGATTTTGTTGCTGTTTAACTTGGGAAGGAAATACTTAGTTTTATCAAATAGTTTGTCACCCACCATTCAGAGGAGTAATGGTAGGTACCTGATACAGAAACCATGGAGAAGTGTGGCTTGCTGGATTTATTGCATGGCTTCCTTCAGCCAGTTTTCTTATAGCCCCCAGGACTGCCTGCCCAGAGTCACACAGCTCTCAGTGTGGACTGAGTTTTTTGATGGGACCGTCTTGGGTTACCACCTTGTTCACAGCACTCACTAATGATAGTAGGGGTTATATTTGCATATCAAACCCGCAAATATAACTCTGGAGATGTTCTCAAGAGTGAAGTTGAATGCTAGGTGGAAACCATTCTTGGACAGAGGTCTTTATCAGCCTCAGGAATGGGGGCTGGTCCACAGACTCTGCCCTTGCTCACTTTATCTCTGATCTCTCAGTGGCCCATGGAGTTGTGTCTTCTGCAAGGTAAAGGATCAGGCAAAGTGCCAAGAAAATCAAGCATTTCATAAAGAATCTGAGGTCTTGAAGAGGAAGATGTTGCCTGAGGAGCAGCTGGTGAGTCAGTGTGAAGTTGAAGGTCTCTCTTTGGTTGGTAGAAGAACATGGTCTCACAGAGGGTAAGGAACAGAACCCCAAGGTAAATCGTAATGTGCTTGGATCATGTGACCCATTGTAAAATTCATACTCCAGGGACGAGCCACATTTCATATTTGTCTCAAAGAGGTTCAAGGTCTAGGAGTCTTTCGTAGAATCTTGGATTTTAAGCAGACCTTTTCTCCCTAAGTGATCATCCATTGAGAATTGCCTTTCATCTTTTGCAGAAATGTGAGCTGCTTCTCTTGACTATTTATTGTGCACCAATATGTTGCTTTTTTATCCGCAAACCAAAGCAAGTAAGTAAGGACAGCAAAACTGAAATCTTGTGAATGATTTTATTCTGATACAAGTTGGCTTTCTCTTGCCTTCTTGATGGGTGTCTTTGTGCAGAAGGCCATGCATAGCAAACTACCATAGACTGGGGCAATATGCGCAATATAAATTTGTTTCTTATGGTTCTGGACACTGAAGGTCTGAGGCCAAGGTGCAGATAAAGTCTGGCTTCTGGTAAGGATCTTCTACTTCTTTATTTGAGACAAGGTCTCACTCTATATCTCTGTCTGGCCTGGAACTCACTCTGTAGACCAAGCAGGCCTTGAACTCATAGAGATTTCATTTGCCTCTGTCTTCAGTATTCTGGGGTTAAATGTGTGTGCCATGACAACTGGCTGAAAGTCTTCTGGGAGGCAGGCAACTCAATTCTGACTGCTCTCTCAAATGGTGAAAAGAGACTAGGAGAGCTTTCTGGAATCTTAATAAGGGCACTAATACTGCTCCTGGGGCTACACCTTCATAACCTAATTGCAAAGCCTTTAATTCTTACTTCTATTGTGCCAGGGGTTAGGATTTCACCCTATGTATTAGAGGGATGAAAATACAAGCATTCAGAATCCACAACCATGGGAGCGTGTGGAAGGCCAGCTAAGGACTATACTGACAGCACCCTGCCCTCACACACATACCTTTGGTTCTTTTTACAACAGAGTAAAGAAGACTTTCCAGACCTCAAGGAACACATGTGGTTAGACAAAATCAAGAACAGGCTGAACAAGAAGGTATACCGTTCGGTACAACATTTTGTGGAGGACATGCGCCTCATCTTTCAGAACCACAACATATTTTACAAAGTAAGAGCCTTTGCTTTGCTTTCTTTTTTCTCTGAGTTGAGTCATTTTTCCTCATGTCAGGTAAATGCTACAATTCTCCTCATCACGGGGCAAGCCCATACAAGTCAAAGTTGTGGAAAAATTCAAAAAGCCTCATGATGCAGGTGGGGAAAGCAACAGTGACCCTAAAGAGAGGAAATCAAACTTGTACTTTGCCAAACCTCAAATTTCTTAGTATCTAAAAGTCCTAGTGCTGTAGCAAAAAGTTCTTGTCACAGCTCTGGAGAGATGGCTCAGGGGTTAAGAGCCCTTGCTGCTCTGGGAAGGAGAGGAGTACGGCTCCCAGCACTCACATCAGGGGCTCGCCTACTCTCCAACTCCAGGGAATGCAACACCCTTTTCTCAGCTCCTCAGGCACCTGCAGTCACATGTACACACCACACATAAGCATACATGTTTAAAAGTAATAAAAATGACTAAGGCAGAGGCAGGCAGATCTCTGTAGCATGAGTTCTAATTGGTCTTAATAAAAACCCAAAGACAGTTATTAGGGGGTGAAAGCTGAAAGATCAGAGAAGCAGAGAAGCCAGTCTGAAGATGGACACTAAGAGGATATCCCACACTAGCTAAGAATGGAGTATAATAAAGAGTTAATTATTTAGGGGTAGACTCACAGATCACAGTCCTTTGCATGACCGGAAACAAGAACTGAATCCAGAAAAGGGAACACACTTTACATCAGCAATTATAGTATAAGAGGCCTCACCCAAGTGGGCGGGTAACTTAAAGGCTACTGGCGGTAGGAATTCCTACTGCACTTCCCCTTTTTGTTTAAATAAGAAAGTTCTAAGCCTAATACAAATTTATATACAATAATAGCAAATATCAGGTATAAAAATTAGAATTATAACCAGCACAAACAATATCAAGCAAGAAACATGTGATAAATGTTTCAATAATTGTCCTATCCTAAGGAATATAAGTCTTGTATTAGAAATAACTTGGCCAAGTGATGAAAGGAAAGTAACTACAACTATCTAGTCTTCAACCCTATCGAAGACCCGAGAAGGGAAATAATATTACTGGAATAAGCAACTTCCAAAATATGCAACAAATGACAGAGACAACTGGGTACCTGGACAATCACCCAATGTCTCATTTGCAACACTGGAGCAACCAACTTTGGCTAAGGCCTAGTGTACCTGACAGACCATTTCAGAGGCAGGAATTTTTGAAAACCGTCTTACTCTCTTTTGGCAAGATTTCGCAGTCTTTTTTTTTTTTTTTTTTTTTGTATCCTGTTTGTCCTGTCTGGACATCATGCATTTTGTCAGTGGTCGATGCATGGGCAGTTTCTTGCCCAAAGGCCATTTTTGCCAAGAAGAAAAAAAGCTCCAAATGGAGTATCTTCAGTGCTCAACATTCTCTAGGGGATAGATTGGTGCTGCCAGGAGCAATCATGTCTCACATCAACAGAACCCTAAGTTATTTAAATGCCGTATTCTACAGCTCTTTGAAGTGACTGAAGATTATTTATCTATGCAGAATATAATCTGTATGTATCTAAAGAAACTGACTAGTCTAACTGTAAGTATGACAAACATGGATGACAAGTGGTCTATAATTCTTGATATCTATATAACTTAAAGAATAAGACTTCCCATTAGAATATTAAATAATCTTTAAACAACTGTGCAACAAATGAGGACAATGACCTCAAAATGTAAACAATACAAAAGTATTTTGATTAGAGGTAGAAATGTATATTGCAATATGATAAATATATCCTAAAATTGTATCAGTATACAAAATGTCTTAAGCAGGGGTAGAAGCATGCATGAATACAATATGACAAAATAACTTTGCCTAGATATACAAATATTGTAGACAAAATAGGAACATATTTAATATAATTTAAGTTTGTATCAATATACAAGAATCTATACCAATGTAAATATTACATTGTAAATATTAGCTCACAAGTATTCACTCACTATTATTACTTGTGTGAGTAAGTTCACACTAATCTATTATCCCATCCAATTTCCCCCTTTTTCCCCAAAGAGATCCCTGAGCCTACATAATTTCCTCTCCAACCCCTAACCCTATAATTAAATAACTTATAATCAACCCTTAAGTGATGTCTCTAACCCTGAGGGCAAACTTTGTTAGGAGAGAGGATGCTATCTTCTAGAATTACTTCTAGCTATTATGGGGTGATGTTCTTTCTATGTAATCCTGTGAAAGTAAAATGATGGTTAAGTTCCAAGATTACTGTCTGGTATAATTGCAAATAGTCTCTGAGTATTTGGTAGGGTTTTTTTTTTGCGATTCCTATTTGGAGTTCTGACCAGAACATTGTAAAAAAGTGCACCATCTCAGTTAACCAAGTTGGAACCATCTTGAGCAGCTGGTACCCAAAACAGGTCTTATAGTAGTGCTATCAACATCACGATGTCATATCAATCAGGTGGATTCATTGTTGTGGGGCCCCATCTTTTTCCTGGAAACTTCAAAGATTACTGCAGGAAAATTCATTATTCATTGTAGGAAACTTAAACCTTATTTATACAGACATATATTCAATGAGAGACAAAATAGGTACGAAGAAAAGTAAATGTTTTTCTAAATTCTTTCTGCTTTCTGTTTCATACCAGACAGCTCCTGACATGAGAGAGAAACTCTGAATTTTTCTTTTAACAACATGCTTGGATTTAGAGAAGGACAGAGTCATTGTCCAACTCCAAAACTAGCTTTGACTTTTACGTGAGTCATGACTATTATTCTAGTTTATGTTCAGAGATTCTTACCCTCAGATGATCTGTCCTCATAAGTGATAATTCTCTTTGCTTGGTGATCCTATCTGGATAATTATCTTTTCCTCTTTAGATATCTAGATGTTCAGGGCCTCTTAACTTTTTGAAAATGAGTATTTTCCTGCAAAAATAAGAATGGAACCCTACCCCAACCCTTATGAGGTTTTCTTACCAACTGATTGGTTGTCACCTCTGTGGATGAGCCATCATTCCTCTTTCTCAAGACATTTCTCTTTCTCAAACTGAATCTTTATTAATTTTGATGGTATCGATAACTTTTCTTCTCCTGTTGAAACAAGAGCAAAACCCATTCTCCAACATAGCAAATTTCTTGGTTTCCATTGTGAGGTCAACACATCTTTGAAATGTACTGCCAAATTTAACACAGAATTTTTTTTTAATTATCCAATGTCTCTCTGCTGCTGTTGTTCCTTTCTCATTAGCATTAAAAAATTCAAGGTTAATAAAGCAGTATGTAATCTTTTTCTGGGGTATTTTCCATCCCTCTCTGTTTGTTTAACATATCCTTTATAGTTTGATTTGATCTTTCTATAACTGCCAACCTATAGGATTCTTTGATATACCTGTAATATGCTTTACAATATAATAAGCAAAAAACTGTTTCATTTTCTTAGAGATATATGCTGAATCATTATCTATCTTTATTTGCACAGATATACCCATGATAGCCGTAACTTCTAATGAATGTGTGATTACAGAATCAACCTTTTCTAAGATTGCCCATTTTCTAAAGCAGTTACTCATTGAAAACCTGAATAAGTGTCAATGGTGTAGTATACATATTATAATTTTCCAAAATGTGCAAAGTGTAACACAAGCTGTTACTTCACAAGGTCTCAATTTTTCATTTATAATTAATTTAGAGATGTTTTCCACCTAAGTTTTTAATTTTTTACTTGGTTTATGTGGTTAAAAAAGATCCACTCTAAGATAATATCTTCCCTTTGCACTAAAATTTTTGTAGGGGAAATTATGGAAGGCTATATGACTGAAATGCAATTAAGATTTGGATTCACCCTATTCACATGTGCCTCCTGTAATTTTTCTTAAATGACAATCAATTTCTTTTCTGCTTCAGCTGTTAATTCTCTGAAACTATTTAAGTCTTTGTCACAATCTACAGTGTGTTTAAATGAACTATTAGATCAGGTGTTATTCCAACATCTGGTCATAGACTGAAAATGTCTCCTAACAATCTTTGAAAGTCATTAAAATATGTTCACAGTTGGTGCCTTTTGTGTTCTAATTTTCTATAAACCTATTTTATAACCTAAGTAATTGACAGAATCTCCTCTTTGTATTTTTTTTCAGAAGCAATTTGTAATTTCCATTTTGGCAAAACTTTCTTTACTTCTTCAATCATTCTTTCTAAAGCATCTATGTTAAAATCAGATAGCAATATGTCATCCACGTAATGGTAAAGTATAAATTTAGGAAATTTTTTACATATTATTTCCAATGGCTGACTTACAAAGTATTGACATAGGGTTCGGCTATTGAGCATTCCATGTGGAAGGATGGTTGACTGATACCTCCTAGTAGGCTGAGAATTATTATAAGTAGGCACTGTGAAGGCAAATTTTTCTCTGTCCTTTGTTTGTAAAGGTATAGTGAAAAAAACAATCTTTTAAATCAATTAATATAAGAGACCATCCTTTTGGTAATAGAGAAAACAGAGGAATTCCAGATTGTAGAGGGCCCATAGGTTGAATTGCCTTGTTGACAGCTCTTAGATCTGTCACCATTCTCTACTTACCAGATCTCTATTTAACAACAAGTATAGGAGAATTCCAAAAGCTTGTTGATTCTTCAATATGGTGAGCAGCTAATTGCTTCTGTACTAGCTATTCTAAAGCCTTCAGTTTCTCTTCTGTTAAAGGCCACTGTTTAATCCATATTGGTTTCTTAGTTAATCATTTTAAATGTAGGGCCATTGGTAACTCTAAAGGTTTGCTAGTTGTTTGTGTTCTTGTACATCCTGAATGGCTGGTGACCTTTGTGTATAGTACCTTATAATATCCTTCCCAGAAATATGAGTTTCTGGGACTGCAGGAATGTTAATCTGGGTATTCCACTGCTGCAACAGATCATGACCTCATAAATTCACTGCAGTGCTAGCCACAAATGGCCTCAGCCTTCCTTTCTGTCCTTCTGGCCCTATGCATTCAACCCATCTTGTGTTTGTTTCACTTGAGATGGGTTCCAATTCCTAGGAAATGAACATCTGCCTCTTGATAAGGCCAATGTGGATGCCAAGATTCTGAAGTAATGATACTCATGTCTATACCTTTATCTGTCAAACCCACAATTACACTGCCATTTATAAGCATGCTTAGCTTTTGTCTTTGCTCATTTGTAGAAGTCTGACAAAATATACGTTTCCTATTTTCTGTTGGAATTTTTGATTCATCCTCCAGGTTTATTCCATCACCCAGGACAGTATAGCTTTTTACAGAAGGCTCTGTATTTTTTTTTAAATTTTCCTGGTAACACATGTCCTCTACAGTGACTGGGAATGACTGTACCACTTTTGACTTGGGGGCCTGCAAGAGGACCCCAAGGAGTTTTCTGGTGATATCAATTTGCCTTGTCTGTCTTTTGTTGGTCTGTATTCATTGGTCCAATGTCAAACTTTGCCATACCTTCTACATAATCCAGAAGGTTGATACCTTTTATTTTTCCATTTCCAGAGGAAATATTCCTAGGAATTCCTTGTCTACAATCCCTTCTCAGATGTCCTATTCTGCTACAATTGAAACATTTGGCATTTTGATGTCTCCCCATACCTTTGGAAATTGCTTATCCTAGCCAAGATTCAGTATTATAATCAAATGTTTCAATGTTCATTGTATGCAGGATCCATTCATCCATGGGTGCTGATCTAACCTTTAAAGGCCCAAGTATCTTTTTGCATTCTAAGTTGATATTTTCAAAAGCAAGAGATTCAATAAGTACTCTTCTAGCATATGGGTCTGTTACTCCTATTTGTGTAGCCTTAGTTAATATTTGTAAAAAGTCACTAAAGGGTTCTCCCTGGCCCTATTTAATGCTAGTATATGAATCAATTTATTTTCCTAGTTCTTGAATCCTATTTTAAGCATTTAAGCCTGCTTTGTGGCATAGGGACAAGATTTGTTCATCATAAAGAGCTTGAGCCTGTGGGTCAGCATAAGTGCCATCACCAAAAATTTGATCTTGGGAAGTCTCAAGCCTTTTTGCTTTTCTCTGTTGTTCTAAAAATCTTGCCTCTTGTCTGAAATAACATTTCCACAGCAGTTGGGGCTCATCATCCAGGACTGCTGAAACTAACTGAACGCAGTTATATGAGTTGGCCTTAATGCTAGAAGCTCATTTGTTATCTCCCTAACAAATGCAGAATGCAAGCCATAAGTTATGACAGCTTGCTTAATTTCTTTTAAATTGTTCTTTCGTATAGATATCCATCTACATTTTTTGGATCCTTTTGGACATTTAGAACTTGATTCTTTGTCAGAGTAGATTACAGGGTAGGAAGCTAAAACCCTGGTTAGTCATCTCTGACAGCTACTGGCTATGTTAAATCCTGTCCTTTTACCTTTTTTCCCTGTTCATCTGCTTCAATAATTTCCTTAATCATTTCAAATCTTTTTACTCTTGTCTTTTGTAAAGCCTGAATCTCCTGGCTTGTCTATATTTCTAGTGATTTTATTGAGGGACATAGTCTTTCGTCCTCATTCTGCACATGTGATATCAAGGTGTGAAGTTTTTCCTTTAAAGATAAAGTCTCATCCTTGGACATTATTTAGATAATGTGCAAATTACCTTCCTGGAGAGATACTCTATCTGCTAATTTCTTATAACTTTTTAATAGATTTTGACTGTCAAATTCATTAGTATGAATTCTTCAGATAATTTCTCACTACTCTTTGACATGTATTGCATTTTGTCTGTCAAATTAATGTTATCCTTTTCAATGATATTAATTTTTTCATGAACTTTTGATTCTCAATGGTATTAGTCTTGTCAGCTAGCTATTTATTCTGTAAAGACTGTATCATTTCTAAAAGTGCCTCATTCTTGTTTCTGTTATCAAACCATTTTCCTAAGGCTATAATATGAAGAAAAAACTGAGTCCCAATATCCAATATATATATATATATATATATATATATATATATATATATATATGCCTTGCAGAATACAATCTATAATATCAGCAAAAATGTTACTAAACTTTTCCATGCTAATGTCATTTGCCATTGTATAACTTTCAAGTTTATTGACTTATTAATTAATGAAATACTTACCTGTGTTATAAGGTCCAATAAATTGTTTTAGGTGTTATAATCTTTATTGCCCAGCAGGTGTTGTGGTTGCAGAGTCATGACCAGTGGTGGTGCAACCAGTGGCACCATGAACAGCCCTGGTCACTTTGATTTTCTGCCTTGCTGCTGGTTAAATACTGACAAATATGTTTGCTTGACAAATTAAAAACAATTAAAGCAGTTCTGTACATGGAGTAAGGGGCCCAGAACTCAGGAGCAGGGAGCACAAACCAGAAGCTGTACAAGTCGCTGCACGTGGTAGTGGGGGGAGGGTGTGTGCTTTTATATTTTGTGTTGTTTTGTTCTCTTTTATCTTTGTTTGTCTATTTTTTTAGTTTGTTTTGATTTTCATTTTGGGGGGGTTGGTTATTTTTCTGAGAGGGAGATAATCTGAAGTTAAGAGGATAGGGAGGTGAGGAGGACCTAGAAGAAACTGGGCTATGGTGAGAGGGGAGACTATCATGAACATGTCTGATTTGAACCTCTCTAGGTCATCCCGTCATAGTCTCTGTGAGTTCATGTGAGTATGAGCTCTCCAGTATCTGGAAGATGCTGTTTCCCGGACTCATCCACCACCTCGGGGTATTACAGTCTTTGTGACACCTCTTCCACTTAGATTTCTGAGCTTTGAAGAGAGGGGTTTGATAATGACAGCCCATTTGGAGCTGAGTGCTACAGAGAAAGACTCTGGACATTGTCCAGTTGGGGGCCTCTGTGTTAATTCCCATCTACTGCAAGAAGATGCTTCTTTGAGGAGTGCCGAGGGATTCTCTGACCTTCTATCTGATGGATACCAATATAAATGGTATTCTAATAATTATTACTATAATAAATGATGATAAATCTTTTAAAAATCACCACAGAATTAGAAGACGCCCCGAGTCATTGCATTAGGAGACCTAAGGTTGGGGGCATGTCTTTAAAACACTTTCTCAATTATCTGAGAGGAGACCAGAAGGAAATCTAAGCCAACTTTAGTGAAAAGAAAGTACAGCCAGAGTCTAGAACACCAGACTGACTTCAAAATAGACAACTGAGAGGTGGGGAAGGAGGTACAAGGAAGTTGTCACATTGAATCTTGGTCCACTGAAGCATGAAGTGGGCATAAAAACTTTATCTTGTCCAGAGTGGCATGAGTTTGGGGTGTAGAAACTATACTCTACTGCCTCTGATCAACCTAGAAAGAACAATTAATTTTATACTATCACTTTTTATTTTAGCTCTATAGTCAGTCAAAGACTGTTTTCTGTGCCCCCAATTCAGGGTGGGTATGTGAGATAAGTTATAGCTAACTGAATTCACTATTGTTGATTTTTACCCCCTATGTTTTGTTAGTTTTGGTTATAAGATGAATAAGTAATATATTCTCTCAGTTTACCTTTTGTGGCTAGTTTGAGAACATAATATTATCTTTTAGTTGAACTTAACGTGACAAGTGGCTTGCTGAAAGGATACGTTTAGAAGGGTCTTGCTATATAGACCCGAACAGTCTTGAACTCACAGAGATCCACCCGCCTTCACTTCTCTAGGATGAGACAGAAGGGTGTGTCACCATTGTCCTGCTAGTATTTCAACATTTTAAGTTGCTATATTGAGAATCTGCCTCTTCTTCAAATTCCATAACTCCCTATCTATCCTAATAAATTTCCAAGGGATTAAAAATGCAGAGAAAGGAAGACCCTGTTAATTTTCCTAAGCATTTGTATGCTGTCGTACCTCACTTAGCACCAACATGGTAGAAGTGGAAAATCTCATACCGTGAAAACTTTGTTTAGGGCAAAATATATGAAATATATTGTATAAAACTGCATTCAGGATATCTCTGAAATATTTATATAAACCAAATGAATTTTAGAATTTGACTTGGGTCCCATTCCTGTGGTACCTCATTATGTATAGCCAAATATCCCAACAACTGAAGTCAAAACCACTGCTGATCTCAGGCATCTAGAGCAAGGGATATTCAGCCTGCAATACTAGTTTTATTTCTGTCTTCCCAAGAAAAGACATAACCAAACTCTTGGGGAATATAACCTCTTCCTTAAAAAAAAAAAAGTGGGGGTCCAGGCAGTGGCACTCAGGAGGCAGAGGCAGGTGAATATCTGTGAGTTCAAGGCCAATCTGGTCTACAGAGTGAGTTCCAGGATAGCCAGGATTACACAGAGAAACCCTGTCTCAAAAAATATAACAAACAGAAACAAACAAACAAATGGTTACACTTCTCTTTATTGACTTTGAGGGTAGACAGTGCATCAGTGTATGCAGGGTGCAGGTGTGTGTGGAGGTCAGGGAACAACTTGCTGGAATCAGTTCCCTTTCCACCACATGGATCCCAGGGATTAACTCAGTCTGTTTAGCAGCAGGTGTCTTTACCTGCTGAGTTATTTGTGAACCCCATAACCTCTTCTTACCTGGGCTAAACTTCCTGGAAGAGTCTAAGCAAGATTCTGGGTTATTTGGAGGACTGGCTGGCCAAACTCACCAAGCAATAGATATCACTGATTTCCTATTTCCTTTTCAGAATCACGGGTTCAGCAATCTTGGAGACACAATAAGAAAACTATTTGAGAAGCATTTCAAAAGAATTTTTTCAATCAACGAAACAAGCAAACAACTTCAACCATGCAAACAAACTGTTTTGTTTACATAGTTTTTTCCTATTCTCTCCACTACCCATTATTCACATTCGGGCATTATGCTGGCATATCCTCTGTCACCTGGCAGGTTGTGCTTGCCAGATCAGGCAGGCAGTCCTCTGAACTGCTCACGGTCCGGACAATGTCATCAGCTACACATCAGATTTGTTGCTACAGTTACACCCCCTTTAAAAGGAGGGGCTCTGTCGCCTGCCTTCCGTCTCTGCCTCTCTTTGTATCTCTCTATGTCTGTCTGTCTGTGTCTGACTCTGCTTCTCTGTAACTTTGTCTCTGTCTCTCTGTCTCTCTGCCTATCTGTGTCTGTCTCTTTGCATCTCTGTATTTCTTTCTCTTTCCATGAGGCTGCTCCGCACTCCCTTTCTCTCCCTTCCCTCTCCCTCAAAAAAAACTCTCCACACAAGCACTGTTTGCAAGGTGTGTGCTTCTCTTTCTTACCTGCTGTGAGTCCTCTTGGTTCCAACCAGTCAAGGTCTCTCTTGCACCATTTTCCAACATTGGTTCTGAGACTCGGCAGGCACCTCCCAGCACCCTGAGGCATGATGGGACCCTGGACCAAGTTCATCTACAACAGCCTTGCTGCTCCAGTTAATGGATCGTTGGACCCCTCCATCTAACACTGACATGATTGGTGACCCCCTCTTCTCTTACCATGTACCCACGAATCAGGATCATTCTCTCAACTGTGGTTTCTCACATTTTGGCTCCATCCCAGAACTGGGTAACCATGTGTCTCTCAGGCTCAGAGTGCCCCCCAACTCCCACCCCCACTATGAACTTATGTATGCTGATAAAATATATGTTAGATTTGTTACAACATACTGTACATTTGGTCTAAAATATAGTCTATATGGTGATAAAGGTTTGAGGTTATGAACAACAGAGTAACAAAACCTAACATGAAGATTTACACGTAAGTTATTATATCTCTGCCAAATATTCAACACCAAACTTCTAGAGAATTTAAATAAGTGGCAACATTAGATTGATAAAAAGGTATTTGACAAATAAAATATATATTCTATACTGAAACGACTGATCCCTAAGAGGGTCCTTTTCCCAGAGTTGGGTACTTGGGCAGAGGCCCCCAGGCCTGTCAAGGGCGGTACTGGCCTCTGTGCTCCCTGAGTCCCTGTTCATGGGCTACACCCCAACTCACAAGACCTCTTTTCTCCTGTTTCCTTTTGGCCCTTAATACTTTTCCTTGCCTTCTCAGGAGATAGTCTTAGTTTGGAACAAACTTGCTTTTACTGACAGAGTGGCTATTTTGGTATCTTTTCTGAGTCCATTAACTGTGATTAAAAAGTTGAAGCTCTCTTAGTGTCAAAATAATGATACTAAAAGAGCTTCAATTCAAAACAATTATTTTTAAGGTTAACCTGACAGGAATGTGATGTGTAGTCCTATATTATGGGGGTGCAGACCTATTATAGTCTGTAAGCAATACAAATTCATGGTCGTCTTATAAAAGAGCAAGCTGTTTAATTGCAGTCATTCTAAGTACTGATGAAATTAGTTACAGAGATAAAACCTACCTACTCCCCTATATGTTTTCAGAGTTAAACTTAAAACAATTTAATTATAAACAAAGTTCATCTATTGAGATATACCTAATAGACAGTCTTCAAATGCTCAGAGGTCTGAGAACATAGCATTTAAAGTGTTTAATTAAAAAGCTTTTTATAATAGAGAGACCTGTTAGCTCCTGGCAGGACCCCTATTTCAGCCAAAGAAGATAGATGGAAAGAGAAGAGCCTTCACGCAGAACTTGCTTCAGAAGTGGCAGCACTAACCACCGACCAAAAACCACCTTTCACCTCAATTGCTGCTAAGACCTCTTCAGACCATGGACAAAACAAGACACTGGGGAATCGCCTGCCTTGAGATGCCTAGACAAATGTAGGCTAGTCTTCCTACAAGTTCCTATTCCACTGGATCTTCTGAGGCCTGGCAGTCAAAGGCTTGCCCTGAGACCTCTGCCCTCATGATCGTGGATGACCCTGGGGAGTAGCTTTATTTTTTTTAAGATTTATTTATTTATTGTGTATACAGTGTTCTGCCTACATGCATGCCTGCAGGCCAGAAGAAGGCACCAGATCTCATTACAGATGGTTGTGAGCCACCATGTAACCACTGAACTCAGGACCTTTAGACGAGCAGGTGGTGCTCTTAACCATTGAGCCATCTCTCCAGCCCGTCTCTGTCATTTTTAATCACTAACTCAGGTAAAATTTATCCTTCTCAGAACTCTGATGCTGTTTGATTACTAGGCTAGAGGTAGCTTTATGAATTTAGTAGCAACAACCAAGGCTCCAGCTGCCTTCTCAGTTCTCTGTACAAAATTAAAGTCACAGGCCTCATACTCCTAAAGCTAATACTCAGTCTAGGCACAATTTACCTCGTTACCAGACTCAGAAGGGAGATAAACTCACAAAACAGATTTCGGTATAACTTCTTACCATTCCTTTGTTTAAAGGAACTAACTTGCTTTACAGTGACTGCTCTCAGTGGTCAGCCACCTGGCAAATTAGATATAAAGATAGGAATATTTAAGTGATAATAAGGAGAAAGTGATCTGAGCTACATAAAAGTATAAAATGTTTCAGATTTCTTTCCCTCACTATGCTACTATTGTATTCAGACTCCACAAGATCACAGTCTCAACAGTAAACAATGAAATTCTGATAAATTATTAATTTATCTCTGGCAAAGTCATGCTATCACTGTACGATCTTAGCTACAAGATTAGGATTTTAAGTTCCCTTTGGTTGTTTTCTAAATGTAGACTTAAAAGGTGCTTTTCATTGTGCTAAAAACATCTGCCACAGTTTTCCAGACAGAAAAAAAAAGAATATTCTTGCTTTCAACCACAATCATTTTTTGGTCCCCAATGATTCAATGGCATGAGTTTCAACAATGTGGATTTCAGTACAGATCATAAACAGTGGAAATGCTAATGTGTTTAAAACTTAACTTTTCTCAAACTCAAAGAATTCTTGTAAGCTCCAGGGAGCTGACTTGGATTCACCTCAAACAGGTCAGATGTCCCCCTCAATAAAGTACTGTCAATGTCCCTGGTCTTGACACTCCCAATTACCAGGATCTAAAACTTTTTCCCTAAACGTAACTTTGTCCTCTGCTCTGCCAGCATCATGCCAGGTACAAGGTGCACCAGATGACCCCACAGAGCCTGGACAACAGTAAAACAGCCAGATATTCCTGGGCATGGCCAGCACCCCAGCAATCTCAGGTCCAACCAAGATACTAATGCCCCAAATCAGCAGGAAGCAGTCTCGAGAACTCGGCGGCACCCTCATTCCCCAAACTTGACACCCTAACTCCTCACCTTGTGATAATAAATGAAAGGGAGAAATGTTAGCATTCAGGCATTATGCTGGCCTGTCCCCCATCACCTGGAAGGATGTGCTTGCCAGTAATCAGGCAGTACTCTGAGCTGCTCAGGGTCCTGACAGCATCATCAGCTACACTGTTACAGAAACACGCTCCTTTAAAAGATGGAGCTCTGCTGCCTGCCTTCTCTCTTTCTCTCTGCTTCTCTATCTCTCTGCCTACATCTCTGCCTCTCTATCTCAGCATTTCTGCATATCTCTCTCTCTTCCCATGAGGCTGGTCTGTGCTCCCTTTCTCTCTCTCACCTCTCTCCTTCCCCCCTACCCACAATTAAACTCTCCACATGAGTACTGTCTTCATAGATGTCTCTCTCAAGCACTGTGGGGCCCCTTGGCTCCAACCAACCAAGGTCTCTTGCATGCACTTTATAACACCTATTCCTCCAGCAGTACAATGCTCAGAGAGCCCACCCTCCCCTCTGCCCTTCTATGTAAATGACCTGCCACACTTCTGCTTTTGACTTTCTATATTGTCCTTCCTGTTCAATTACCTTCCTAAATAAAACTTAATATTTGCAATGTGCATCACAATCGTGAACTGTCAGGTGCTGAGGGAGCCCACTGAGAAGGTGACTCTGGAAACAAGATTGTACTCCTCCCCCATTGTAAACCCAAGTACCTTTGTCTCCAAATGTCCTCCAAAGCATCTTATCTAAGGATGACTTGGCCCTTTGAACCCAGTGACTAGGCAGAGATTACAACAAAACAGACCAGGAGTCAACACACTGTCCTTGGGAACAGCTAGAAGAAGAACCATGTCTAACATAAATTAAAATTGTTCATCTTGTAATGTAAAATGGGATCGAGAAGTCAGAAGTTCAACCCTGGGAGCTCAGTCATGGAGAGAAAACTCAAATAGGAGCTGTGGCTGACTGTTCAACGTCCACAGACAGTTTCTGCTGACTTGCCTTGAGCATCCAATTTGATGATGTTGTCTCTCTGTTGCTGTTCATTCTTCAACCTGGAACCTCACCGAATGCTAACTCTGGTCTGCCCTGGACTCCACTGGGAACTCCAGACCCCACCCCCACCACCTCTACAGACATCCCCAGTCAGTTCCCCCTGGATATTCCAAGTACATGATGAGCAATGTTCTGTTGTTTTTCTCTTTACTCTTTTCCTTTGGCTTGTAACATACTTAATAAACTCATTCAAAATTGAAAGTATGGCAATCATTGTTGTGTCTCAGGACTGAGCAGAATATGACGGGGTGGTCAACAGTCTCCACACAATGCTATTTCTATGTGAAAGTCGTGACTCTCATTAAAAGTGAAAGAGAGTAGGACCAGACAATGGATGGAGTGACGATTCCCGCCACAGGCACCTGGCCTCTGCTCGGGATAGTAGAATCAAATGTCATTTATATCTAAAACTGCGGTTCACAGGGGAGCACGTCGGGAATGGAGCACTCCAGGTACTTTCTACTTTCTCCTCTGCTTTTTCATTACAAAGAGTGCTCACTGCCCAAAGTCATTGATAGTTGCTAGTGTGTGTATATATATATGTACAATGAACCAGATGCTTCTAACTTCCCTCCTTGCCTTTGACTAACATTCTAGCCTTCTAGGGTCCTGACAATAACATCCTAGTTTCAGCAGGAAGTATTTACAGAAGAGAATGCATTGTCCCTTGTCTCCTCCTGGAATGTTAGATCAAATGGAATTTCTTGTCTTACGGGACCTGAGGTAAAATAATAACTGCTCCCCATTCTCATTTCCAAATTCCTTCTAGATAAGAAACTCTGTCATCCATCACAGGACTTTTGGACCCTCTGCTTCTGCTAAATGCTACTGGTTCTTGCATCATTGAAGCCTTAAATAAATGATATTTCCTATCTGGATACCGCTAAGCTGATGATGCTAAAATCCCAGTATCAGCGCCTGAACCAAACCCATGACACACAAACTTGCAGATGTCAACTACTGAATAAGGGAAGGCTCACTTTACCATTAGTGATGGAAATTGGTCACTGCTTGAGGCAACCGTTTTTCCCATCTTTGTAATCTCACTCAGAATCCAATGGCAGCTGGCTTCCTGATTTAACAGGATGATAACTGGTAGGCATGTGTCTGTCTCTGGCTTGACAGCCTGTGTTAATACTTAGGTTTTAAATCAGACCAAAGATTTCTGCATCTTGGTCCAGTCGGAATAGTCTACTTCTCTTTTACCAATTTGAAACATCACCAGAATGGGAAAAAAATGAGAAGTCATTACAACTGTCTCGTTACCCACCATCCAAGGCATCAGCTTAGCTGGGGCCATAGGTACGAGAACTTCAGCCTTGGTACTACAAGGGTCAGAACTACACTACAGGGCCATGAGAATGGCAATAAATGCAGATGTCACTGCCCTAGAAAAATTTGCTGCACATTTGGAAGAATCACTCTCCTCTCTAAGTGAAGTACTTCTACAAAGTAGAAGGAGCCTTGACCTATTGTTCCTTCAACGTGGTGTGGGGGAGGGGGCTTACAAGGTCTTAGGAGAGCAATGTTGCTTTTATACTAACCATTCTGGTGTTAGTAAGGACTCCAAGGCCCTACTTAGAATGAGACTGCAAGACAGACAATGAGAAATACAACAAAATAAAGGATTATTGGCCAAAGACACTCATTCATTCCCAGCTGCCCAGACCTAAAGTAATGACACAAAAACTATATTATTTGTAACACTGTTTAGGCAATATCTTTTTTTATTGATTTTTATTGAGTTCTACATTTTTCTCAACTTCTTCCCTGCCTCTGAAGAGTTCAAGAATAAGAAAATAAAAATGTAGATTCCAAAAATAAGAATGTAGAAATAAAGAAATATAAAGTTATAACTCTAGGAAAATGAGAACAGACTGTCAGCAGCTTTCTCAGCAGATCAAGGATCATTCATTCACAGTGAGCTATTTTCTCAGATGCTTGGGAAGCTTAGGTCATTTTATAACTGACTGTTTTATTTACAAGGCCAGAGCTTCTCCCTACAAATTGAGAGTAGTGTCCTGGTCATCCCGGAAAAATGACAGATGTGAACTGAGTTAACCTTTAGGAGACAGAGATATGTGACCTTTGGGTTAGACACTGTCTCCATTATGGACAACTGGTGCCACCAGAGGAGAGGCATAAGACTCCAATATACACCTGGAGGTACCAGGAGACAGTGGACAAATGCAATGGTTTAATTAATGAGCTCTGATAATGGAGGTTGTAAAGTATGGCAGTCAGTATCTGAGTTTTACCTTGAGATAGTGTGAAAAGCTTTCTGCTATCTCCTAAATTCTCAGCCTAAGAGCCAATTAATCCTAATTTATTAACCTTCTAGTATTACTAGCAGTCCTTCTCTGACTAATTGCTAAAGACATTTGTTTTCTTGCAATTAGTGACCTTCGTTGTAATCTCCT